GTGTGAAAGTTAAGTAGTTATTGGTGTTGTGAAACATGGATGACATTTGATTGACTAAGAAATGGAAGGTTTTGAACATGAATAGAGTAACAGACTGATTCCACGTTTCTTCTGATTGTTTGGAGCAAATCCATTTGAGTAAATGTAACTGGTTTGCTGTGTAGTAGTTGTAGAAATGTGGCGATGCAAGAGTCCATCCAAGAATCCATCCATTATCTTTACCTGCTTCTTCCTTTTTGGGGGTGGTGGTGGTGGTGGGGGGCACGGGGACTGCTGGTGCCCATGTCCAGCCATCACTGTGCGAGAGGCAGGGGACACCTGGGCAGATCTCCAGTCCATCACAGGGACACATAGAGACAAACAACCATTCACTCTCTCACTCACACCTCAGGACAATTTAGAGTTACCAGCCAGTCTAACATACATGTTTTTGGTCTGTGGGAGGAAACTGGAGTACCCGGAGAAAACCCACGCATGCACGGAGAGAACATGCAAACTTCACCCAGAAAGGCTCCCGGTGGGATTTGAACCAGTGTAACTTGCTTGCTGAGAGGCAGCAGCTCTACCAGTTTCACCACCGTGCTACCGAGCTGAAAGTCCACCTTGTAATTTGAATTTCTGAAGACGCAGTTTCATTGGGGGTGTTTAATTTTTCCAGTAGAATTCTGTAACAATGGTGTCCAGCAATTTGAACCAGCTAAGGTGGGATCATTGAGAAAAGGTAATCTTTGGTAAAACGTTCATTTTGACAGCAGCTGTCCTCCCTGGTATGGAAAGTGGTAAACTCATCTATATGAGTAGATTATCAGTGATGGTTTTAAGCAGTGGGGTAAAATTGAGTCAGAATAACTGTGACAGCTGCAGGGAGATGTTAACACCCACACAGGTAACATGAGTAGTGCCAAGAGGAGTAGGTGGTGTGCGGATTGCCACATCCATCTGTTACTGTGTGATGGGAGAATGACTGATGCATGCCAGGTTATAGAGTAATCTGACAGGCTAGAGAAATATTTGATTAATTTAATCTGATTCTCTAATGAGTCCGGGTTTTCAAGAAAGAGTAATGCATCATCGGCATACAGGCTAATTTTGTGTTGTGATTCCAATGTTCGTGTTCATTTTATGTGAGCGCTTTGACAAACGGCTGCAGCTAATGGGTCAATAAAAATCATAAAAAGAAAAGGATAAAGTAGGTATCACTGCCTGGTTCCTCTACGTCGTGTGAAACTTTGTGAAGTGGTTGATGGTGAGTCATAAAATCTTTTATCTGTTCAATAAATTGGGAATGAATTGGGGACGACCTTGGAGGGAGCTAATACGCACGGACCAGTGGAATGCCCACAAATCTGGACATTTTGGATCGAAAGTACCAGCAGAACCCAAGGCTGACGAGAAACAACAGTCTATCTGAAAAAAATCAACAACTGTGGCTAATCTGAATCTGCTGTGGAAGTTTCTCTAAGGTTTTCTTGACTTGGACAATTGTCTGATGAGTACACGTTTGTGTAGAAGTCTAAAAGTCTGAGATAGTTTCCCTGTTGAACTTTAATACCGACGGCATTTTCCCTGACTTTGTTTAAGCCCATATACTAATTCACCAGATTTATTGTCACGGTGAAATGGTTCTTGACGGAGTCTACGTATCATCGCTTGTAATTTAGCTGAAATTTGTATTTTCTTTGTTCGGTTTGCTTTTCTTCAGTTAAATTTAGTGGAGAGATATTTTGGAGACGTTTTATTTTTTCGTCTAGTTCGGGTTCCTGTTGCTGCTCCTTTTTTTTTTTTTGTAAGTGGAAACTGATTATTATGACAGAACTGCTTTGCCAGTTTCCTCCAAGGGTGACGGACATAGCTTTGGGAACTTACTCTTACCATTTAGCTTCAGCGGTCCTTCGGCTGCATTTGAACAGAAAAGGTGAATTTCTCCTCCTGGTTTTCTGGGTCAGGGTTCTGGTCTCTGACGGGTGACGTCTCTGTCCTCTGCAGGACGTTTAGTGTCTTCCTGTGTGGACGTGTCGCTCCATCACCGAGTCCTTGTGTTTATTAAATCATTTCTGACTCTTCTTCCTGCTTCCTGCAGCCGAGTCTCTTATCGGCTGATTGCAGCGGTCACGTTGTTTTGTTGACGATCATGTTTCATTTCAGCTCAGCCGTAAATCACCTCAGGAACATCAGGCGGACTCTCAGCTGCTGCTCGGAGCTCATTTAGGAACAATTTGTGGTTCTTTTTATCTCGTTTTGAGTTATTTCTGGTTCTCTGTCGTCATTTTGCTTCAATAAACACTCACAGCAGTTTCCGTCCTCTCGTCCTCGACGTGAAGATAGTTTTAAACTTTGACTGATTTGATTCGTTGACGATGAAATGATTCTGAAACATCCGACTTTAAGGATTTTTAAAAACAAGTTTTAATTCATTCGATCCACACAGGCTCAAATATATACATAAATTCACCCACATCTCTTACTAAATGGTGCTGAAGGGGCAAGAAGGACTTTTAATCTGAAAAGACCTGATAACTTCCTGTTAGTGATCATGACTGACGGCAGCTGGTAGTCTTTGCAGGATTCAGAGTCCAGTCCCGTTCTCTGGGGATAAGGAGTGGTTCTACAGGACTGTTCGAACCTGACTAACCGTCCTCTGCAGCAGTTTGACCCGCCGGTTCTCTGTCCTCCCTCTGCAGGTGTCGGGGGTGGTGATGATCGGGGTGGGGTTCTCCTCAATCGATGGAAACGTACCTGTCGCAGAGGTAAATATGGAGGTTACAAAAACACAACTCATCTTTAAAAAATAAAATCTAACATGGTTTGGAGGAGAGAAAAGGGTTTGATCAGCTGATCTGGGTTTAAGATTGTCCTCCTCTGGACCCAGCCTGTCTTCTTCCGTCCTAACTGTCTTTAAGGTTCAGCATTTCCTCTAAATGTTTAATGGCAGACAGGAAGTTGATCTGAGCTGCTTCCTGTTTGTCTCTCCTGCAGCTCTTTGACCAGTTGTCCATCAGCGATGGACTACAGGTTCTGCAGGTGTTTGGTCCAATCACCGTGGTTCTGTCGGTTCTGGGTATTTGTGCTGCAGCGTCGAACTACAAACCTCTGCTGCTGCTGGTGAGAGAAGCACTCATGTGTCCACCATACATGATGTAAAAGTTTGATCTTTGTCTCACTCCTGGACAGTTCTCCCCAAGTCCAAATGTCCAATTTGTCTCCTGCAGTTTTCTGCGCTCATCTTTGTGGACTTTGTTGCTCTGATGGTTGTTGCCTCTCCACTGGTTCGGGTCCAGACTCAGGTAACTGGTTCGGGTCCAGACTCAGGTAACTGGTTCGGGTCCAGACTCAGGTAACTGGTCTTTGTCTCTCTGGCTCCCCCTGCTGGCAGTTTAAATCCTCACCCTCCCTGTTTTTAACTACCGTATTTGTCAGACTATAAGGCAAACTTGAAATCCTTTAATTTTCTCAAAAATCAACCTTTTATTCCTTATAATCTGATTATATGCCTTATAATCTGATTATATGCCTTATA